GGGCGAGGCAGTGGCGCAGTAGGTAGTGCTGTCGCCTCACAGCAAGAAGGTCGCTGGTTCGAACCTCGACTCAGTTGGCGTTTCTGTGTGGAGTTTGCATGTTCTCCCTGCCTTCGCGTGGGTTTCCTCCGGGTGCTCCGGTTTCCCCCACAGTCCAAAGACATGCGCACAGGTGGATTGGGTAGGCTAATTGTCCATAGTGTATGAGTGTGTATGAGTGTGTGTGTGTAAATGTGTGTGTGTGGATGTTTCCCAGAGATGGGTTGCGGCTGGAAGGGCATCCGCTGTGTAAAAAACTTGCTGGTTGAGTTGGCGGTTCATTCCGCTGTGGTGACCCCGAATTAATAAAGGGACTAAGCCGACAAGAAAATTAATAAAGGAATGAATGAGTATATTTTATAAGTTAAATGTATTTTTATATTCTGCAGGTTATGGGATAAAATATGATAGTTCTAATAGTTTATTAAAATATATGAGAAGTTTTAGAAATCACCAGGCCCCCCCACAACAACAAAGTTAATGAATGATAAGTTAGAAAACATGATTTAATTCCAGAAAATAAAATATGTAGATGTGCATAATTATGTTTACTCTGATAGATCATTTAATGCATGCTGCTAGAAAAATACAATTATGGGGGAAAATTAAGGTTTATTTGATGAATAAAATAAAAACAAGTTTATTTTATAAACCAAACGGATTTCTCTGGCAGCAAAATTTGACAACTTCTGTTATTTAACTAAATCTGATGGGACAAATTGATTTTGTTTTAATTCAGATGATATTAGTCAAAATGACAAAATATAAATATGAACAAAATTGCAATGTTGCACAATTACATAAAATACTACATTACTCATTTTAGGCAGTGTTAGAATTATGCATACATGTGCACAATAACATTTGGGATAGTTTTTTTGGTCTGTTTTGGCCATTTTTATTGATTTGATTCTACAGAAAGGCCAGGGTGTGGGTTTTTGATTTTTACTTGTGTACTTTGGTACTTCTCCAGCTTTAACTTTTGCACATCTGTTTGATGTTTCTAGGTCTTTTCAACTGTGGGATCTGTCAGGAATGCTAATTCATGCAATGTTAATCAAATAAATATAAATTAAATTTAAATGATTAACTTCTAAGAAAAATAGATCGGTTCTTATTCCTTTATCCACTGGAGACTAGGTTTGTTTTTTTATTTATGCTGTTTTTTTAAATCATCTGAATGATTTTACTTTCAACCCTATGCTTAATCGGTGACCATATTGGTGCAATCAAATCCTCAAAGCACCTTCAGATGTACAGTAGCATCAGATTTTTTGAAGGGTTCCTAAACACCAAGAACAAATAATTCAATAAAACAGCCATAAAGGAAATTGTGGGTACTTTTCAGGCATTTTCTATTCATTTTCCTTAAACTGCAATGACACACATCAAATATATCATTCACAGTAAATTGAGTCCATTATTAATATAAACTAATGCAGCATATTTTGTCTTTGGGAACATTTGATTCTGTTACTAATTGTTGATTAACTTAATGTTAGACTTTAACCACTAACAGAGTTGACATTTTCTACCATTATTCGCTTTAGCACAAGATGCTGACCTGAAACCAGATACCACATGGCATGTCTAAAGTGGATTTTTTGTATTTTTATCATCATAGATTTTTAAAGTATATCAAAATAACAGAGTTGACATAATTAATGTGTGTCCTAAACATTTTGTACAAATTAATGAGAGAAGAATAATGACATGCCTCAATGCTTTCCAGAGTTTCTCGGCAAAGAAAGTATGAATGTATATATTAACCTGTATGTATTAAACACACCTGTCTAATGAACTGTCTGGGTGTAACATATGCTTTACTATTCTAAATTCCTAAATGTTTTAAACTTAAATGGATGTTTTTCCCAAAAAAAAATTTCCCCCATTGTTTACACAACTTTGACCGAGTTAAAGTTTCTTTCTTCTGTTGAACACAAAAGAGTGCTGTAATCATTGAATGTCAGTATATTTTCCTACTATGAATGTCAATGGTTACAGGGTTTCAACTTTCTTCAAAATATCTTTTTTTGATATAAAGAATAAAGAAATTTTATACCGGTTTTGAACAAGTAAAGGAGAATTATATCTAAGTTCATTGGGCTTTACACATGTGTTTTTCAGCCATCGAAAAGCTTCTGGTGAAAGACTAACGTTCAGTTTTTTTAAGTGTAAATGTAGTCAGTTAGTAGTGAATATAGCCAGTTAAATAGACCTAAGCATTCATTTAGCTGTTCAAGCGGGAAACAAAATAAAAGGCCGTTTGATAACAAGCACCATTAGGTTGATCACGATCAAGCAAACAAAAAAAAAAAAATACACTGTGGTAAAATAAATATTTGTATATTATAAATACATAGCATGGAATCATGTTATTCAATGAAGTACTTCTTACCTGGTGTAAGGGTGCTTTCACACCTACACTTTTGATTCGGAACGTGTCTCGTTTGCCCAGTTAGCGCGGTTCGTTTAGCATATGTGAACAGGCCAATCACGCTCTGTTCCGCGCCAAAGTAATCGCTCCGAGATCGCTTGAATGAGGTGATCTCGGCTCGATTGAAACGAACCCTGGAGCGGTTCGATTGCAGTGAGAAAGCGATCCGATCCGAGCGCGGTTATATCACAGTGTTTTATGGATATGTAATAGGCATACGGCTATATGTAGAGAGAATTCTGAGTATGGAGGGAAGTTTCGCGAGTCTCCGGATGCCCGCAAACGAGTGATGATCTCCCGGTAATCTCGCGTCTCCCTCCCGTTCCTCAAATAGGCATCGTCGCGCACCCTTCTCACCCCTCCCCACCACATCTCTCCTCAGACACATCGCGCGCGGACCTTGTCAATCACCACCAAACCACCACCTCTCCTGACAGCTGAGCGGGACGCTGCAAAATAAACCCTGACACTGATCAATGTGAGGAGAGTTTACTCGCACGTGACTAGTTTTAGCTCTTTTGGTCCGATTAGAAACTTTGCAGTGTGAAAGCCAACCGCTCCAAGAGCAAAGAGCAACAATGTAACATTTGTAATCTCTGTTTCGGAACAACTGAATCGATTCACAGGTGTGAAAGCACCCTAAGACTCATTCAGGTAGTAATGGGTGAATGATTCGTTTATTTTGAATGAATCTTTTGTATGACTCAAGAACGATAAGTCTTTTCAGGGAGCGATTTGTTCATTTGCGCACACATTTGTACAGGTGGAGTTGATCATTTTGCGATTCTTCTATCAGGTTTGAGTCGTTGGTTTAATTTGATTTGATGCGTTAATTTCTTGAGAACTCGATTTGAGTTGAAGGGATAGTTTACAGTTTAACCCAAAGAATGACCAGTCTGGTAGATGAAGAAGAGCCGGAGTCAGAGATTAAATAGAACTCACACACTTAAAGTATAATCTGTTTCTTATCCAAGGCTGAGTGTACTCTCAGCCGTCTTTATCAAAAATGGTTAAAAACTGGTTAAATAATTCCTTACTAATAATTCCTTAAGTCTATCTTGAATAAAAAGTAGAATCACTTTAAAAGAATTAACCGTAAAAATAGCAAAATCACTTTAGACATTTTAGATAGTAATAACTACTAGAAATAACAATAGAAACAGTTGATTCCAGTCCTCAGCCCTCAGTTCCACTCAAGGTCTCCGTGACCTCTGACCTAGTTTGGTGGCTTCTGAAAATAGTTATAAAGAGACAGGCAAATGCACTGAACATTCTTATATTAAGCAATGTTTTAACTTATTCGTTAATTAAAATCAATTCAAAGTTAAATAATCAAATAATTACATTTAATAAAAATAATTAGAAACAAGATAATGAAAAGGGTAAACATTGGTCCATGATGAGACGGATTGGAAAGCAGAAATCCGAATCCTTCAGAGTCCTTTGTTCATCATGTGAAACACAAAAGCCAGTCATATGCATTGAGAGCCAGAAAAAGATTTGATCCGTTCTTTTCTCGAGTCCTTGGGTTTGAGTCATCTCTCTTTACATGCTGTCACGTGTTGAACGAATGACTTAAAAACCAGAAGAAAGGTGAAATAATCATGGCTCTTTTTGGCTCAGACCGTGTGTTTTGGTTAAGCTTATTGACCTTATTCTAAAATGCGGAAGTGCGCCTGTTTTCGCGATTGTCTTAGAACTTCCGATTCAGTCGCCTATGGGAGAAATGACTAGGAATAATAAACGGCAGAAAATGGCCAAACTACTTGCTCAACAAACAAATGTTTGCATGACTACACAGACCAAGTAGCATATTATAATAAGAAAATATTAAATTGCAACATCAAGCAGCGTAACGAGCAGTTGTTATTGTCAAAAAATGAATGGAAGTGAATGTGACCGGAAGTCGCGAGACAAAAAGATTCAAATGGCAGCGCCCACTCGACAGCTGAGAATAAGGTGAATATTGGACTTAAACAAACCACTCAAATTTGAAGACTGGTTAGAGGAGGTGAGCTGACATAATCGTAGACAAAAGACCAAGTAAACAATAAATTATTATTTTCTCTTTTTTTATAGAAATCTAGTTATGACTTGTTTGTAGTGTGATCAACGTTTTGCTAGTTGTAGATGTAAGATTTAATTCTTAAAATTTTAATAATATTTTGGCAAACTTAATGACTCGTGGGTGGGTGGGGGAATTCATTCGTCTTAATGAAAGGTCCAAGTCAGTTAATGATCCAAACTTCTTATCACTACAATCTGGCAGTGTAGACCATTGATTTTGAACAAACCAGATCTGAAATGTGGTGAGTTCATAATGGCATAACAGTTCTCAGGAAGCACCTGAGCGGGCTTATTCAAAATTAAGAGCCTACATTTATAAGGTCTATTATTTCACCATTGTACTGACATGTCTGTCTAGCAGTGCAGAACAACTGCACAATGAAATTTAAATCAGTTTAAAGGCATTTGTTGCTTTGTGATACATTTTAAAACCAAGTCCCTGTGTTCTCTGTTTCAGGGGGAAATGCTGTGTTACTCTTCTGAATGAGACGGAAGCCCTCAAATCCTATTTAGACAGAGAGGTGAGTGCCACAGCACTATGGCGAGGTGTTTGTGCGCATGTGCAAATGATTTGTTTGCGTGAATTTGCTTTTCATTCTCTGCATCTCTGTTTACTGGATGCCTGCAATAGGGAAATGCTGATCTGACGTGTGTCTGTGTATATGTGTGTGTGAGAGAGCGTGTGTATGAAAGCTAGTTTTGAGTCCCGATCCAAATGAATAATTCAGTGTGTTGACCCAGTATGTTCCTCCTCATATTTAGTAATGAGGAGACTGGAGACTCTACAACGAGTCAAGCCAGTCCTCTAATATCTCAAACACTGGCCTTCACCGCTTCATTTGTTCGTTTGTTTGTATTAAAGGGCAGAATCATACTTTACATCAGTTTGCATATGCATAAGCTTGGTTAATGCATTGTGAGCGTTGTGTATTTGGTACGCTCTTGCCTTTTGAGGCAGTGATGCACAAAATCAAGCTTTGCATTAGTTTTTTTTTATGATGTACAGTGAAGATCAAAATCCGAGAACATTCTACACTTTCCTATATTAAGGCCACTGCTTTCCTAAGAGATCTAAAAGAGCAATTTGAGCATATATATTACGATAAGAAGTTAAATAAGACTTAAACATGGTATTTGGGAAGAAAAAAAAAACACTTACCAGGTTAGAGAAAATGGATTCCTCTTAGTTTTTTAGTGTTTGGGCTATTTACACGACAATGTTTTCAGGCAAAAACTGTAAACTTTTTATCCATTTTGCTTGTTTATTTATTCAACAGCAGCATTTTGGGAATGAAAATGCACAAATCTGAAAACAGGTTACAGTTGTTGTTTTTTTTTTCTTTTTTTTTTACAGGGCGGGAGTTTTTAAATGTTTCCATTGCTATGTCTGTGTAAACACAATTAAAAACAATGACTACATTTACCCTGGACATCAGTAATCTAATTGTTTTCTTTAATCTGAGTAAGACAATAATATAATTAAGGTGTTTACATGAGTTGCTTTTTGAATGTTCCTTTCATGGTTTACATGTAATAGTATACACTACCGGAAAAAAAGTCTTGTCGTCGATCTCAGTTGTGAGGGCAACATTGATTCATTGTTGATATTTTGGAAAAGTGGCAGAAGGTAGATTTTTCAGATGAATCATCTGTTGAACTGCATCCCAATCATCACAAACACTGCAGAAGACCTGTTTGAACCCACTTGGATCCAAGATTCTCATAGAAATCAGTCAAGTTTGGTGAAAGATAAATCATGGTTTGGGGTTACATTCAGTATGGGGATGTGCAAGAGATCTGCAGAGTGGATGGCAACATTAACAGCCTGAGGTATCAAGATATTTTATTCATACTTCAGCCTCCACATCAAAGTTCCTAAAAGCAAAGAAGGTCAAGGTGCTACAGGATTGGTCAGCCCAGTCACCAGAGATGAACATTATTGAGCCTGTGTGGGGTAAGATGAGGAGGAATCTAAATGAATCTAAAAGAATCTTGATGCACTCTGACAGTCCTGCAGGAATGCTTTCTTTGCCATTCCAGATGACTTTATTAATAAGTTATTTGAGTCATTGCAGAGATGTATGAATGCAGTCCTCCAAGCTCATGGAAGTCATACACAATATTACTTATTTTTACACTCCACCATGACTTTATATTGTATACTGTACACTATTTCTGTTAAGTGACAAGACTTTTGTCTAAGCGCAGTCAGACCTTACTGTCCTAATTAAATCATTAAAAGTCAAGGCATGATCATGTTTTATTTTGGTAAAATAAGCATAATCTAGAGTCCTTTGCCTTTCATATAAGCCACATCTGATACCAAATGATCAACTAAAAGTGAAGTTATTATTTGTTGTTCCTAAGACTTGGATAGGTGACAAGACTTTTGTCAGTATATAGTTCCATTAACATCATTACATCACCATTTGGCACTTTTTTTTGGCACTGTTTGTGTTCGTCATTGCATCATATATGATTTTGGGTATTTCGTTTTTAATTTTGCAACAAGTTCAACTGGTCTCAAGTCTCAAACTGACAACAATGGATACAAATTCTCAAGCAACAGCCACCTCTGCAGTCAGATGCTATTGGGTTTTGTTCACAAATTTTTCGTTCATGTCCCCCCGACAAACTTGAAGATACTGGATGAGAGCATAGTCATCGTTTCCCACTTGCACCAAAGATGTGATTTAGTGCAAGCGGGAATAGAGCCATTCTCATTTGTTTGTCGGCAAACTGCTTTGTTTGCATCCTGTCGTAAAATGTTGAAAAGTACTAGTGCTTTTTCATTTTTGGATTTATCATTGTCGTGTGAACCTAGCCTTAATCGGGCAACAAGTAGCAGTTTTCTTAATTTTCTGATACACCCTATTTAACCAGCAGCCTGACTTTCTAGTTTTCACAGACTTTACTAAATAGGGAGTTGTACTAAAGTGTCTGAAACCATCCGAGCAACAGCAAGAAAAGTTTGTTTTCTAGATTTGTGGTTTCTAGAATGTTGTGATGCCATTTAGGTCCCCTACAAATGCTGGTCAAAAGACAAATTTACAAAAATGCTGCATAATCCAGGAAACATCAGTGGGGAATTGATTTAACACTGCAGCTGAAATTGATCACCAGTTCAGCTCTGAAAATATGGAGGTGAAATATCATGGTTTTGTTTGGGAGTTTGGCCTCTTATAGTAGAGTGAATGCAAATGTTCAGAAGCTGCTTCAGCAATATGCAGGTCCTTCCATGGGAATCCTTTAGTAACTAAATAATTATGACCAAGAAAGTCATCATAGTCATGAACTGTTCAAAAGACACAGCAGAGAAAGACTAGCAAGTCCTTTGAGACAGTAGTGATGTTCGTAAGGTACTATCAACATCAGGCGTAGTAAAACTAACGAGATGTCATAATGCTCAATATATTTTGAAGCGTTTGATGCAACCTCCACAGTTCAATATCCAGATGGCAAACACGGATTTTTAGCTTTGCATTTAAATAAAAAAATGTATTTCCCAATTCCTTTACTTACTGTGAATATGCTTGTCAGAATGTATGTCAATGTGCAGTGTTCAATCAGTGAGCACTAAATTAGGGACGCTTTCACATGAAAATGAAAGTGACATGAGCAGAAGACCAGAAGCCCACACTGTACGTTGCTATTTCTGTTTAAAGTAGATCCATTCATAGTCAAATTTTTAAGCCTTTGCTTTTTAAATATTGAACCTTAAAGCAGGAAGAGAACTCTTTGAGAAGAGCCCTCAATGACAAGCAAATTAAGTTTGCTCGTCCATGGTAAAACTCAATTATGGCCAATAATTATGAAAATGTACCTGACTTGATGAGTATTTAGTTGGCTATACCTTCGAATGCGAACTTTGGAGAACGTCTAATGTCCTTGAGACACTAGCTGTCCAATGGGGCGATGTCCATGAGACACTAGCAAAGACATTAGCAACGTTCGATTTGGCGATGTCTCTAAGACACTAACGACGTCCTGTGAGAGATCTTTTCCACAAATGATCTAATTTAGATCTTTAATGTATGTTTTGGGTCTCAGACTTACTCAAGGTGTTCTTTTTGGCTTTTCAGGATGCCTTTTTCTACTCGCTGGTGTACGACCCACAGCAAAAGACTCTGCTGGCTGATAAGGGAGAGATCAGAGTGGGAAACAAGTACCAGGCTGACATCACTGACCTCCTCAAAGAGGGTAAGATGTCTCTTCATCTTATTGAGATGGACAAGGTCAAAGCATTGAGCTCTTCATATGAGACCACATATTTATCATCGTCTGTATTCATATTAATGCAGCATAAAAAAAATGAAGCAGTGCAACCACTTTCAACACTAATAATAATGTTTCTTGAGCAGCAAGAAACTTCTTCTTAAGGATCTCATTGGAACTGTAGACAGAAAATCCCACGTTTGATTTCATAGGACTAAATTACATTTTTAAATCTGTGCAAATGCAAAAGCTATTTTAATTCTAGTAATATTAATGCTCATATAAATACAGCCTTATTGAGCACAATATTTCGTTTGTAAAAACTTAATCATTCCCAGTATATTTTATAGCAAACATGGGAATTCTAAAATTTTAAAAGGCTTTATAAAGCTCATATAAGTAACATATGTCAAAATATGTACTAGGACTGTTCAATTAATGGAAATTGAGTCACAATTGCAAATTGAAAAGCTGAGCTCAGTTAATTGCAAGAGGCTGCAATATAGAATATATATGTATATGTGTAAACATGGTCCGTTTCCACTGACTGGTAAGGTACGGGTCACGTTTATCAGGCTTACGTTTCCACTACCAAGGGTACCCTTTTGGTGGGCGTGGTGTACGACAGAAAGTTTCAGTCAACGTCATTGTCACTTGAATAAATGTCTACGGTAAAGCTGTACAAGTCGTTTACATATAATATAAGAAGCACTCCTCACAAAACAGATGCTTTATACATATAAGTACTTGTGTATAAATGTTTATTACTCACCTTTCTATGAACATGATTTGATTATAACTGTAGAGCAATGACGGTGCGAAATAGCCTTCAGTAACATCTGCAGTTCTACAAAATAAATAAATAATTGCAACATATATGAACACATACCGACCCTTACAGTCTCCGATATGTTACAAACTACAAAAGAACTACACACAACATACATTTAGTCCTTATTTGAGTTCAAAAACAAAACGCAGCCATCTCCGATCACACTTTGAGTTTTCCTTAGCATTTGCTGTTCATGTAACTGCTTGACTTTACAGAGGCAAACTAATAAACATGCTAGACTTTCTGCTATGGTGTTGGGAGGCATCGTAGACATGGTATCGGTTTTCATGAACTGCCACATTACATGAGAAGAAATGATTAAATCTTATTTTATGACGTTCATTTGTCGTTTAGGACTTCCTACGACACCCTATGTCAAGTCAATCATGCTGAAATCGTGTGATCTGACCGGGGCTTTATAACTAGCCAACTGCATGACCACACTTTCATTCTGCCCAATCAGAATTGTGCAACTGAACTACGCCCACAATAAAAAATAAAGAAAACAAACTGGAAAGCACAGACAAGTGGGATTATGGCGTCTGCTGCTTTAGAAGCATTGATAGACTAGCTAATATTAAAGAAAAACAACTCGTTGGTAATATGGGAATATTTTGGTTTCAAAATTACAGACACCAAACAATAATAGGAGGTTTTGAAGACCTGTCGCAGAATTGTTAACACTGCTTACAGATTATTTAGCTGAAGCGTGAATCGAATTAAAATCAGCTTGAAGCGTAAATCAAATCAAATCGCAATATCTGTCCAAAAAAATCACAATTAGATATTTTCCCCAAATCGCACACAGCCCTAATATGTACCCAATTTAATTTTCAACACTTTCAAAACAATACTGTTAAATTACAATGAGCTCAGCTTCTGGAGTTTTCAGGCTTTAAAATGAGTGCATCTTATTGAGATTCCACTCTTGCATTTCCCAAATGCTTAATAAGCCAGAGTAGATCATAGATGCTGCTGGCACCCATTTTCTTTGGGGAAACTGTGATTAGTATGTGGCGCGAACAAATCCTTTAGAGCAGAAATGCATGTCGGTAATTCGAAAAAGCAATTTAAGCATAAAAATGAGTTTTTACATATGTGCTCCAAAAAATTGTAACAGAAATAGTCAAATGTTGCACTGCACAAATACATTGCTGGTCTGTGAATCCTTTTATATATGATAAGAAGGGCAGAGTAATAAATAATTCTGTTTCTTGGTCCACCATTGGTCCAAGGTGAAAGTCACAATCAGATCAAAATGGAAAATTCTTTTTTTTTCAGGATTATTGCAGTGTTTGTTGTGAATTATTTATCTATGCACATTATTATTATTGTTATTTTATTCATGTTCCCTCTACATTTTTAATCAAAAACATGGACTTGCTCTCTCAGAAAACTCTCTTCTCTTCACTGATGATGTGTGCATTGACACACACACACACACACACACACACACACACACACACACACACACACACACACACACACACACACCAAATTCTTTAACGTGAAATTGCTGCAATTACCAAATGGTACGGATTCAATGATGGACAAATTGAGTTAAACCTCACATTTTTTTCTAGTTCGAGAAGCTGTTTTACCAAAATATTTTGAATGAATGTTGAAAGAGCATTGCAATTTGCAATTAACAAATTGTCAGTGGCTGTTCACGTTCACCATACTACAGAAGTAGAAGCATTTCTGTCCAATGTACATCTGATTCGCACCCGAGTGGATTTGTTTACAGTTTCTGGTTCACTTTCAAAAAGGGCAGCGTAAAATCTAACTGCACTCAAACTATATATAATAAATCAATATTGTTTTTGGTTTAGATCAAAGCAGGTGAATTAACAGACATTCTTGGTGTGAATACACTCTTAAATTTCAGGTTAAATTTCCCTGTAATTCAAGCTATGAAAGGGATAAAAAATGTTTGTATTAAGGCTGCACGATATTTTGAAAAATCTGACATTGCGTTTGTTTTGCTGTGATGTATATTTTGATATAAGTACAATTTCTTGGCTTTAATAGCTCTATTTGTTAAAAAACAGAAATCATTAATTTAGATTGGTTGAAGGTGTGAATCATGTATAAAAAATGTAAAGAATATTAAAAATAGAGCGAATGAAAGAGGTAAAAAACAGTTCTTTATGGTTTTCCGGAAAGTCAAACAGTATTCAGATACAGAAATTGAATAATGTAATGTAAAATAACACTAAAATAACTAAAATAAGACAAAAGTAACTAAAATAACACAAAAAACATAGTCTTCATTGTATTAATAAATCAGTATAATTTGTCTTCATTTAAGTTACAATTGTGTAATGTTATTGTGTAAATTAATGCTTTACACTCTTTGAAATGCCTTTGACTCATGCAAATGATAAAGTTTCTCTCTGTTATGGTTATATGTTGCAATGACTCCATGAATCTCATGTATTCTCAATTGTTGATTGACTATAATCCCAACTTAACATTGCATATTCTGTGACTATTGCACTATTATTACATTCACAGTAGACATGGGTCAAATAAGATTCTAACGGCATGATAACCTTGTATAAAAATATCACATCATTGTGATTACTGCTCTAAAATAAATTATTTTTAAATGTCTGGGTAAAAAAACAACAAAATATTTTTCTCTTTGAAAACAATATATTTTATTTTTTGAAAGATTGAAAATATTTTGGCACAGTTAACATGTCAGGCTAAACGATGAAAATTAATTACTGACTTCTTTCTTCATCAGTTTCAAAAACAAATTTCTTTACAATTTAAAATGGCATATTTTTATATCTTTTTTTTTGCTGAAGATACTGTTGTCCTAAAATAAAACGTTAAAAAAATCTTACACATACCTTAGGAACAGTATTAAAGAAAACTTTGGCGGTTTTCAAACCTTGTCTTTTCTAAACCATGGTATACCTTGAAAACGGTTATCGTCCCATGCCTAGGTCACTTACATTAAAATATCAATGTTGAAACGATATATTGTTCAGCCCTTCTTTCCATGTGTTTAATTACTTAGGAGTTATATTGGAAAATTCATCACTCAGTCAAGAGAACTGTTTTTCTAAACATCAACACAAGTGTCAACAAGCATTATTGCCTATTGCTATTATTTAATGTTGGCTTTTAGACTCAATTGATTTTCTAATAGAGTAAGTCAATGTAAGTTCAATTATCTGTTCTTGAAGACAGTCACTTGATGTTTTCCAAATGAATTAGCACTTTTGAATGAATTATATGAATACATTATTCAGTGAATCACTCATTAAAACATCACTATCTTCCATTTACTCATACATTAGTGTCACCACAGCATCTGCTCATGATATGGCCCAGTCCAGGATTATGGAGACCTCGGGATAAGGAGTATAATAGTATAAAAGATAAGTGTAGATGCCGTTCAAATCCTAAAATTTGTTTTTTAATGAAAGTTATGACAAGCAAATTAAGACTTGCTTCTCTACAATAAAGCTCGATTATGACTAATAACTATGGAAACATGCCTGACTTGACTATTCAGTCAGCGCTGGCTTAAAATGCTAATGTTATGCAGTTCAGTTTTAGATTTCACCTATTGTTTTTCAGTGAAAACACTTCTTAAAAATCTTCTAAATAAAGCTGAAGCAGAGCAAAACTGGTGTTTTGTTTTTCAATTATGAATTTCAGTTGGTTTTCAAAGTTCAATTATCTATTCATGAAGACTCTGTTGAAGGTTTGATTCCAAATGAATCAGCTCCTTTGAACTAATTAAATGAATTAAGGATTCAGTGAATCACTTATTAAAACACAACTTCCTGCCACTTAATCATAAATTAGTGTCATGTTTATTTATCCCCAATGGCGAACATACCTACGTAAAAACACACTCAGCCATATGCTGTAAGAAAGAATAACAAAAACAAAACAAAACAAAAAAACACATTATTTAAAAATACATTGCCTTTAGGGAAAAATGGGAAAGCTGAAGTCTGATTTGAAAGCGTCATGTTTCCTTTAGTAAATGTGATCTGTGGGTGTTGGTTTGCCAGGAGAGGAGGATGATCGGGAGCTGGAGAAACTGGAGGAGAAGGTGTGGGATCCCAGCAACCCCCTCACCGAGAAACAGATCGACCAGTTCCTCGTCGTGGCTCGGTAAAACTCTGCAGCAATGAAACAAATTTGCTCTATTTCTCTCTCTCTATACCAGTCTGTTGTGAATAGAACATTTGCGTTGAAAAGATCTAACTCTCAAATTCTGAAATAAATATATATATTATTGTTTTGTTCCCACTCCATGCTCTGTTATTTCAAACTGCATTTTTCTTGCTCTGTTTCACTCACTCATTCTGTTTCAAATCTTTCTGCAGGTCTGTGGGCACGTTTGCGCGGGCTCTAGACTGCAGCAGTTCAGTTCGGCAGCCCAGTCTGCACATGAGCGCTGCAGCAGCCTCCAGAGATATCACACTGGTACAGCACATCGCACACACTCACTCACACACACCACTGCTGGAACACTTCACACTTTAGTGAAGCTCAGCAGGTTCAGACTAATTAATGGCAGACTTCTACATATATATATATATATATACACACAACATTTTTGTATCATTTGTGCAATTTTGAATCTGGTTGTAAATGCTTATGTCATCGTTTTTTTTTCTTCATTCATTTTGTATAGTAAGTTATTTAACATTACAGCGTATTTTTGTGACTTTTTTAAAATTACAAGCACAAGAGGATAGCTAACTGAATATTCCAATAGTCTTCAAAAGTAAAAAAACAACAACTTTTTATTATATGAATTGCATATTTTATGAATTTATCCATTTTTTGAATTTCATTTTAAATAGAAGTGCTAAGTGCATTTGAGGTAAAAATGTGAACATGAACAAACAGATGAACATTCATTACCCATTACAAAAACACCTCAGATAATTACATATGTGCTTAATATCAGTTTTTGCTTATGTTTTGTTTTCTCATGTTAATAGTTAAATCTGCTGCATGTACTTTGTTAAAAAAAAAAAAAAAAAAACAGACAAGCCAAACAGACGTTCTGACACATTTAGTCATTGAAAATAGCAATGTGCTGAAATGTCTGCTTGCCATGTACCTGCGGCAAAAGCATTTCTCCTTTTTATTATTTTGAACATGATAACTTATCTCAGTTGGTCATATATGAGGTATATTAAATGACTCATTCTAAAATGTCAAATAAAGATAAGCTAATATAAAGAATTATCCCATAATTCATATAGATTACATACAGTCAAAATTAAAATGCAATTGCATATTATTCGTGCTTGTATTATATACAGTCAAGCCCGAAGTCCAGGGATATGATTAATCTCTGGTTTGAATATCTATTTGTTGATATATATATATATATATATATATATATATATTTTTTTTAATTAGCTTTATTAGTAGTAGTTATATAGTTTATTATAGTGTATTATTAAAATGTTATTTGATAAACCTTTGAAAAAACCTGTTCCAAAATCAGAGGTTGTTTATCAATTTTAAATGCTTTATTTAAATCATCTATTCACATTAATCAAACTCATCAGCATGAAGCACATCAGTTTTGTGCACTCTAAAAAAATACTTAAATAGATAGTTAACACACAATTTTAAATTCACTCACTATTCACATGCTCTTGTGACAAACCCAGATTATTTTCTTCTTATGTTGAACACAAAAGAAGTTGTTTTGTTGGAAACCAGTAACTATTGACACATAGAAGGAAAAAAAACAAATACTATAGAAGTCAATGGTTACACGTTGCCCAGATTTTTCTAAATGTCTAGCAACAAACAACCAAACAGTCAAACAGCTTTGTGACAAGTGAAGGATAAGTAAATGACTTTAACTTTGGCTGAACTATTCCTTTACAAATTGTAGGTTTTGCAGTCGTCCTGAAAACATTTTCATTAGATACAAACAACTTTAAATGAATAGTTTTCAAATTTTTACCTTTGTTTTAAATGTGTAATGTAACATGATTGTCTTTGTACCAAGTTAATTTAATTCCTTAAAATAATGGGTAACACTTTAGGTCTTAATTCATGGTATTAACAAAACATAAACTAACATTTACTAGCTTAATAAGCTACTAATTAATGGTTTATTAATCATTAGTTAAGTAGAAGTTGGCTTTAGGTATTGGGGTAGGATTAGGGATGCAGAATAAGATCATATTTATATAACTACTGATTAAGGCTGCACAATATTGGAATAAACTGATATTGCATTATTTTATTTTTCTGGAATAACTAATACAGTCTCAAAAGATGGATTGGATTGCTCTATTTTTTTCTGTGCAGTCATAACAGCATTCAGGTACAGAAATTGAATAATCACAATTTAAGAATAACATTTTTCTTACTTTGTCTCTTTTCTTGTCCAAATATATAAAATGTCTTGTAAATCTAGTAGAAATATAGTTTTGTTTTCGCTTTTAGTAGAAAAGATATCAGCCAATGGAGTGATTAAAGTAATCTTATTTTCGCTTCATAGGGTAGATATTTGAACTAGAAACAAGACAAATTTTTTAGTAAAAATACTTTTCCCCCCATAAATTGTATAAATAATTAAATACAATACATTTTTATTACACCTCCAAACATCCATCATACTTCTGTGTGCTAAAACTCTCCGTAACTCTACAAATCAGATGTGTTCTGTTGCTCCTGCTCAACTATAATTCAGACTCAACATTGCAGATCTTGTGATGCGACTATTGCAGATGTGCACATTGCGATATCAATGCTGAAACGATATATGGTGCAGCCCTACTACTAATGAATAATTAACATCTTAATAATTGGCTAGTAATAAGCCAGTAGACTTTAATGTGACCTGATCTTAAGTGTTGCCAAGTAATGCTTTACCAAAGACTTTTTAAAATCCCTATGGCAAAAACTAATAGGGAAAATACCCCATAATAAAAACAGGGTCCCCACGCTTCTTGAAAGGGCTTGAATTTCAGACGTGAATTATGACCTGGGAAGTACTTAAAAACAATTGTAGGTTCTTGTAAGGGCTTGAATTGATGGTTTATGGTGTTGTTTCAACTATTGTACTGCGAGAAATTCCTCATTTAACAATCCTAAATTTACAAAACATTTGAACAATAGTTCACAAACCACATTTGATTATTACCAGTATTTAATTCAAGGAACTACAGCTTTAAAAAGTCCCTAAAAAACCTTGAATCTGCTGTTCATGAAAGAGTGGGAATCCTATATAAAGTGAGCAGACACTAATACACTTTGTTGCAAACATGTTTTCCAATAGTCCTATCCCCTAAACTAAACCCGTGATTCCACTAGGACGATCAAACAGGCTCCAAGATTTGGGTGGCAAATTGTGATTAGAATTTCGAGTGCACAGCGATCACGATCTTCTCACATAATCACGATTAGATCAAATAATCCCTGCTAGGGCATTATGTAATAATTGCAACAGGCCTATTGCCAGCTTCAATGCTCAGTCTCTGCCTATGGGGCTGTACAAGAAGAAGCAGGGTGTTCACTCTCTAGCCACCCTGACTGTGTACAAAACATGAAGGAAAGGCGCCAGAGGGCAAGATCCCTACACATAAACACACACACACACACACACACACAGCCCACACAATTCCTCTTCAACCAGTGTTGTGTTGTTTTCAGGGTTGAGCAGTTGAGATTTGCAACACTCCTCTAAAACAATGGAGTGTCTGCTGATGTGTCTTGGATTTGGGCCATCATTTATTGCTGCTGCTTCATTTTCAGTTTCACGCCATGGACACGTTGCATAAGAACGGCTACGATATGACGCGGGCCATCGCAGCGCTGGTACCTCAGGGCGGACCTGTGCTCTGCCGGGACGAAATGGAGGAATGGAGTGCATCCGAAGCTAACCTATTTGAAGAAGCGCTGGAGAAATACGGCAAAGACTTCACTGATATTCAGCAGGACTTTGTGAGTTCAAATGGCATGCTTTTTTTTTTGAACGGCATATGCTAAGGTAATTGTGGCAGTGATGACTGATAAACTGCCTTTGTTCAGGGGACGGGCGAGTGTGCCAAGTTTATGTTTAACTCTGCCACCTGGTGGTCGATGGGGGTTTGTGCAGCGCTGAGTGTTTTGGTTTTGGGGAGAGTCTGTCAGAAATGTGTACTTAGAGAAACAGGGAGGAGCCAGTCGTGGAAAATGGGCACACCCGAAAGAAGGCAAGCAGCTTATTGAGGGACACAAAGGATTGGGAATTGAAGCTCGGTTTCTGTTTGACATCATGGCCAGATTTGCGTATGAAAGCGCTGATTATTTAAAGGGGTAGTTCACTCAAAAATTAAAATGATCTCAGGGTTTAATTGGCTTTGTGAGACCACTGCATTTGCTACAGTTGGAACAAAACTGCTGTTATTTAAAAAAAAAAAAAAAATATATATATATATATATATATATATATATATATATTTCGAGAAAAAAAGAAAACTTAAGGTGGTTTATTTACATGAACAAACAGTAAATAATGCGTTTACAGGGCATATGCAGGAATCCTAAAGGTAATTTCAATACCCTTTTAAGACTTTTTAAAAACCTTATCTAAATATTTTAAGATCTCATCACCTCTGCAAGTTTTAATCAGTATCAAACCTTTATTATTAAGCAGTTGTAGTTAAATAAATCAATGGAGCACAACCAGGCAACAGAACTCAGATTAGCTCGCAAAAAACAAAGCTTGAAAGAGTAAATTATGCGCTTGTTTATAGCGACAGACTTCAGCCACTGTTTAAACTCGTCTTTCTTCAACCAGGAGTGCACAAACTTGCATTATCCCATTTTACCATCTGTTCTGCTCTATGGTTTCGCTACATGTGGAGAGCGTCAGGTCACCTTCCCGTTTTTGTCACGAATTACGTGACTTCACCCGGTCGGAGGAGCTTGGCCAGATGTGCCCCAGCCCGAACCAATTGCATGGATCGAGCACGGCGTTGTTAATATTAGGAGAAAAATAAAAATATTTATGCTTTTTTTGGAGTCAAACACTTTGGACAATGCTTGAACAAAATTTTTAAAACTCGTAAAACGTGTTTAAAACTTTAATACATTTTTAAAGGCCTTCATTTTCTCATAATTGATTTATCAATATTTTCAGCTGCACCTCAAGAAGCACTACTGAATCTGTCAGTGATTTTGAACAAGTCTAACTAGTCAAACAGACTTGTTTACTGAACCTTTTTTCAAGTTCAACTCATTTGACTCTGTAATCTAGTCAAAGTGGTTTTGAGTTAAAGGGCTGTTCCAAGTATTCCCTTCATTTTCAGAGCACATATTTTATTGAATTTGTTTGTAGATCTATCAGAAGCAATGCAAATAAAAATGTGTGTGTATTGAAATGCATTGATTGCATTGAATGATTGTGTAAAACAATGTAACTGTTATAAAGTAGACTTCTCGGAAGCTCAAATTGAATTTTTGTTCAAGTGTATTGAACTCTGTTCAAGGCAAATACATGGAGCTCATTAAATATAGAAAACATGGAAGCTCAACTGTATTAATATGATTAAACGACAACAAAAGTCTCACAACTCATGCAAGCACATCTGATATCTTGGGTTTATTTGATGTTTTTGAATGTATATTGATCAGTGTTTGCATTGTATTTAACGCTTTAACTGCCCCACCAAGAAAAATAATGTTTGGATTTCTTTACTCCAAATGTCGCTAGTTAAAACACTCAATGCATTTTTCTTCAACACATCCCATAATTTTTAAAAATTACAGCCTCTGCCGAATGATATGTCAGTATATGATAACAGTACAAAACTTAATACATATACTATGAAAAATCTAAAAACAGTAAGTGTAACACTAATTTATTTGAAAAAGTATTTAAAATAAAACATTTTTGAACACTAAATCACCTTTTTTTTTAAGTGTGGCAAAAATATTTCAGATTTTCATTTAAAATGCTTCCTTGTGTATATATATATATATATATATATATATATATATATATATATATATATATATATATATATATATATATATATATATATATATATATATATATATATATATATATATATATATATATATATATATATATATATATATATATATATATATATATATATATATATATATATATATATATAATTTTTTTTTTTTTTTAACAATAGAACCAAAATCAAGTGTAGTAGTGCAACAGGGTTATGCTTGTTTGATTTAGTTTTCAATTTTTTATATATTTTTTGTAAACTATTTAAAATATTTTATATTTAAAATGGCTATTATTTAAATGACTTTAACAGTCATTATTTAAAACAGTAAAACCATGGTCAACCGTTTGGTAGAAGGGCAGTCAAAAGATTAATACATTTCTCTGTTTTTTTGGTTTATTTTTGTCCTTTTTGCCTTTATTAAGTGGATAGGACAGTACTTAAAAGCGAAGTAGGAGAGTGAGAGGGGGTAGGGACAGGAAATGTCCTCGAGCCGGGATTCGAACTTGGGACGCCCTGAAGTGCTACTGCACCATACTGTATGTCAGCACGCTAACCACTAGACCAGGGGTGGCCAATCCTGTTTCTGGTGAGCCACCTTCCTGCAGATTTTAGTTGCTACCCATATTAACCACAGCTGAACCAATTAATTAGGGCCTGAACACCATGTGATAATTACAGGCAGGTGTGTTTGATATGGGTGGCTACTGAAATCTGCAGGAAGGTGGCTCTCCAGGAACAGGGTTGGCCAACCCTGCACTAGGCTATTGCACCATCATAAATCTCCTTTTTTATATATTCATATAGATTTATTCTTGTTAAAGCATATTTAAGAATCAAAAGAGTTTAATTGAGTGACATATTACTCTCAGATTTCTTTAAAATATCTTCAGTTAGATTTGAAACACGATCAAAAGTCACAATAGACACAAGGATGAGTAATTTGATGACAATTTTCTATTTTCAGTGAGCAAAACCTTTTTGAATTGATTGTTAAATGTGGAAAAATGACATTTTGTTTATTATTTTAATCTATTAATAAAAATATGGTCTGTATAAATGCTTTTATTCTTTTATCCCAGCTTCCGTGGAAGTCTCTGACCAGCATCATTGAATATTACTACATGTGGAAGACCACAGACAGATACGTTCAGCAGGTAAACCAACACGTCTGTCTCAAGTCTCTGCGTACAGGAAGAAAACCTAGATCACTTTCACACTGTAACATACTGTTTCCTGCTCCATACAGAAACGATTAAAAGCAGCTGAAGCGGAGAGCAAGTTAAAGCAGGTTTACATCCCAAATTAGTAAGTACTTGAGTGAGTCGTGCTTGAACTCTTGAGTTTTGCATTTCACCATACGCTTCAAATGACTGCACTTTGACCAGAGGAAATCCAGTAACGCTTGTGGCTTTTTTTTTCTGCAGCAACAAGCCCAATCCTAACCAGCTGAGTGTGAACAGTGTTAAGCCTGGGCTGGTGAATGGAGCGGGGGCTCTTCCGGGAGCTCCAGGACAGCCGGTCGGATTGGGGCGAGCTTGCGAGAGCTGCTACAGTGAGTGTATGAACTCTTTCACATGTATAATATGTTAAAGCATGTCTATGGCAGTGATATTGCCTTTTCTGCAGAGTTTACCTTCAACATTGATCAAACTTGCGCTTGATTCGGATCATAAATATGTACACTAGATATCACATACGGACCCTGAGCATGCATCAATATCGCCGCCACATTTGTACAGTGCTCCCGGCACAAATTCATTCAACTGCTCTAGTCAAGACTAAAGCCAATGTGAAGATGTTGGACTTAAGCACTGCGTATGATTTTGTTTTACGATTTTAAGAATGAATGTCAACAAGTAGCGTTATTGATGATAATACAGTCACTTACTCCATTGACCATAAGGCAAAGTAGCACCAACTCTCACTCAATACCAGGCTTATGGTAGTTTTGTTGAATAAAATCAGCAAACAATGTAAATGAAATATGAAAGATGCTGTGGTGCTAGAAACTTGTATTATTGTCGGCTAAGTGAACGAGTCATTCATAAAGGGCATTCGTTCACAAACGAATCACTCCTTCTGTAAGAATTAGAAGTGAAAGCAGGAGAGAGAGTGTGTTCAGCGTTTCCATGGAGTCTTAATAAAAAGTCTTAAAATGTCTTAAATTTCAAAACTTATATTTTATGCCTTAAAAAGTCTTAAATTCTCTGACATATTGTAAGTCTTTGTAAATTGTTGTAAGTCTTAAATTATTTTAAACCAGTCTTAATTCTGCTTTGCCCAAGTAAAGCTACTCAATTTGGACTGATTTCCATTCAATGAGCGACAATACATCTCAAAAAAACCTTATTTATATTTAAGTTTTTTTTATTGCAAAGAGCACAATTACTGCACAGTAGCGGTTAGCTTAAAATTTTACAGCAAATTCCCCAAATTAAATTCCCTAATCAGTGGAAAAAAACTAAAAACAATTACATGATTCCTCATGATAATACTGGTTTATTAGGAAAATTTTAACCCTGTATAAGTCTAAAATGTCATTTTTTTTGTGGTCCTAAAAGGTTCTTAAAAAGTCTTAAATTTAAATTGATGAAACCTGTAGACACCCTGGTGTTTCAGGACACTTTTAGATTAGATCAAATTTAACAGGGAGGGTGGATAATACATTTCCATGCACACATATACACTCTTTGTCGGCAGTGCCCATGCGGTCACTTATCCATCGATGTAAAAAAAGATGTAAAACTATAGTTTTCGTGATTTAAAAAACTCCTGGTCATAGATAGATGTATAAATGTGTATATATCTTTTCTATAATCTTTGGGACATACTACTTCCTCATTAACAGACTGTTATGAGTTTTATTACATCCCTTGTCAATCATCTTGACACATCCACATTTCTTTCATGGGTCAGTGCCAACTGACCCAGCTGGGGCTCGAACCAGTGACCTTCTTGCACCATTGTGTTGCCCATACTACGATTTGAGACGCACTAATTCTATTTTGAATACTATTTAGAAGGCATAGTATGCAAATTGGGACGCAGCATGTTTCCATAGACCTATTTTTGTCATTCTTAAACTTTTCACATTTTTGGATGGAGGCATAGTTAATAATTAATAGACTACATGGATTCTAAATCTCTGTCACTTTAGTAATTAAAGTGTACATTAATACACAAGATGTGGCTTATCTGATGCAAGTTACCATGAAAAGTGACCATATGGTGTGTTTCAGTGGCCAAAAAGGATTTACAAAACAACCTATTTGTTGATTTAATCTCAGTTAGAAACTAAGAGATGTGGATTCGGATGGCATTTAAATCACCACATGTCCTTGGTGTCACAAAAAAAAACTAGGTATTCGGCTGGGATTTTCATGTGGGTTGTGAGAGATACAGACGTACTAGATTTGGACAGCTATGAAGTCACCAACTACCTCCTCGTGAGTGGTGAAAATGCTTTTTGTCCCCCTTGAGAAACAGTTACCCTCCGGATAGGACTGTCAATAGTAATCTTAGAGGCTTAATATGTGCTTTAGTTAATGTGGAAAAAGTTGAATGTGTGTTTAAATATATTCTGCGCTATCTTTATCATTTTATCATATTTATAATTTATTGAGAGTAACAACAGATGACTTGCCTCAGATTTTGTCAATAAAAGCAATAAGCACATTCACTCTGTTCGAACCAACAAGTGTGTTCAATAATGAAGGTGGTTTCTGTCACTTCATGTGTATTTTTAAAAACCATCAACCACTTTGCTTATGAAATAATAAGTAGCAAAGGGTGGTCACACACTAGACAAAGCACAGCACCACAGTTTTGGGAAACATTGCCCAATTGGTGTATGGTGTATTTCACGCAGGTGAGTGGGCTTGACAAACCACCTGTTCATGACACACTCTTTTTCTCTCCATATGCACCAGACACCTTACAGTATGAGCAACCCTTACTTGAAGACATTGTGTAATTCTGAGTGTGCTCCACACAGGTGAGTGGGCTTCACAAACCACCTGCAGGACACATTCTCCTTTCGTATGCTCAGACAAAAAAAAGAGAAGAAAAAATTAATAAAAAAACTAATAAACTTGTTAAAATGTTAATATACTGCTACTCTCTGATGATTTTTAAGGGCTTCTTTTATTTTTCTTGTCACTTTAGATAAATGCATCTACACTGGATAAAAGCTTTCATTTAAAAATGAAAAAAAAAAAATAATAATAATACTTGGGTAATGGTTCACATCTAAACTTGACCCAATGAAAAATAAATAATTTGCCTTAAACATTATTCTCTTTCTCTATCACAACACTTTTATTTAACCTGGTACAAAGCATTTTTGTCTTGTTAAAGAAAATCAATTAATTAAAATTCTCTTTTTGTTCTAAAAAATAAGATATAGCTTTAATCAAAACAACAATTGCCATAAAATGTTCATTCTTCCAATAAAAAAAAATAGGGTAATGGTTTCACATCTAAATTTGTTCACTTTAGCCAATAAAAAATAAATCATTTGCCAATGTTTTTTAAAGACTGTTAGGCCAGTGGGCCGAAGGTAAATATAGTTGCCATTGGTAATTTCCTAATTTATTGAATAATATTTGAAAAAATAACTAGAAAGCGTTGCGTTTTATAAACTAATATAGCTTAATTCTTTAACATTTAATAATGAACCTATTACAGTATATACAAAAACAATCTCATTTACAACAGAATGGAGTTACACTAGTTTTTGTCTTGATTTGCTCACCAGTGTCTTCTGTATGGCTCTCTATCTGTCGAGTGACATCATTTACATAAAAAAATAAATAAATCTGCTTCATTTACAGCTTTTAATTGGAACTTTAATTTCAGTTAGCTTTTTTGTAGCTCAGCAATAAAACGAACAAAATAGATTACGTTCAATCAGAAATGACGATCATTTTTTAAAAGCATTCACCCCAATCCTCTCCATTCTTCTCAGATGGAATGGTGGGCCAAATCAAAGGTTACAATGGGCCAACTTTGGCCCGCAGGCCCTTATTTGGGCATCTCTGCATTACACACTACCCTCATTGATGGTGATGGTCAATATTTTAGAAATAAATGAAATATTGGGCTTAAAAAACAGAAGCCAACTCAAACATGAACACACAACGTTTATAATAAAACAACCGATATATTTTAAATAATATAACATGAACTAACTCTAAACCATTTCCCATTATGCACCTGGCTATAGTGCTGTGGGACACGTCGTTACTGTGTGAGTAACCTTCAAATTTTACATTGGTCAAAATATTTCTTAGTTGAGCTCATAATCAAGTATAAGTGTTTTGAACTTAACATTTATTAGTTATAAAAATAAAACAAATAATATTAAGCTGAAATAAAAGATACAGTTTTGGTAACACTTTAATTTGATGGTCCATTTGAGTTTTAGTAGACTGTCTGCTTAATATCTGTTAATACTGCTTTTTCAACAGACATTTAACTGACTAAGAAACTTTGTCAACTTACACTAACCCCAACCTAACAGTCTGCTTATAATCTAATGAGAATTAGTTGGCATGTAGATGCAATGTAACTTAAATTCAACAAACGGACCATCAAAATAAAGTCTGACCAAATATTTAAGTACTTCTTGAAAAAAAAGTTCAGTGTACTTAATGAATAAACATGCATAAATGCATACTGTATGTACACTAAAAAAAGTTGACAAAAAGACAACAAATATCTTAATGTTACCTTTTTTTTAGAAAACTAGTCAGTTTTCAACTTAAAACCCACAAAGTTTAACTTAAGATTTTTAGTCAGTTTAATTGATTTAGGTTGAGATGACTAGAAAAGTTCATTTGATTCAACTAAAAAAAATAAAGGCAGCAAGATTTGTTTTCGAAGTGGACAGTTTAAAGACTTGGTCCTCTATTTTGACGATCCATGCGCAAAGTCCAAAGCGCAGGGCGCAAAAGCATTGAGGACGTGTCAAAATCCACTTTTGCTATTTTAAGGATGGAAAAATTCTCTGCGGTGCATGGTCTAACAGAGTTGAACTTATTCTCTTAATGAGTTATGGGTGTGTTTTGAGAATAAACCAATTAGAGTGTCTTCTCCCATTTCCTTTAAGATTCAGTTGCGTTGCACCATGACGAGAAAACAGTTAAACAGCTCTTCTGCCATGTGAGAATGAGAGAATGAGCCTCCTCATTCTTTACCTTCGCTAAGAAAACATGTTGCACGCACAGACATCCATTAGCCTATTCATAATTAATTTAGTTTGTTAAGCTCAAAGATTTGTTTCAACACTACTTCTAAATTTGGTTCTAATTTCCAGCAAAGAAATAAATGACCAATAATAACGAAGTGTGGTCAATAAACGAGTTATATCCTAATACACATGCTATGCCCCATATGGTCTAAAACCTTTTTTAGACTAGAACGCCTATGGTCGCACATAAGAGCGCAAACGCAATTGCTATTTAAACAGCGTGGGGCAAAACGTTGAAGCTGAAACTAGCAAACAACAATTGCGCCGCTTTTGGTCCATTGTGCGACCCTTATGTTTTCAGTTACAGGCCATCTTAAAAATTAACCTAAGCACTGATTGTTTCGGTTAATTTAAAATTAAGACTAAGTTTATGTTTTTTAGTTCTGTTTACTTTAAATAGATAGTTCACCCAAAAGTGAATAGTTACTTATTACTTATTTACTCATTCTCAAGTGGTTTAGTTTTTGGTTGCTCTATACACAATTCACAATTCTGCCCTGGCCTATGTCAGTGAACTTATTAGGCCTTATTCAGCTTGTAGACCATTAAGATCCCATGACCAGTTTCTTCTGTCTGTCCCTCGGTCTCGCTGCAAATCAAAAGGTGATCGAGCTTTCTGTGTTGCGACCCCAAGGCTCTGGAACAGTCTCCTTCTAAACATCAGGATTTCTCCTTCATTGGATGCTTTTAAATCTAAATTAAAGACTTATTTTTACTTTCTTGCCTTTGAGTGACGCATGCATGTTATTTTTTATTTTTATTTTAGTATTACTTTTGAACATATACATTCCCTTGTATTTTTAATAACAGTTTTTTTTTGTTTTATTGTCTAGTTGATTTTGTTGTAGAACACTTTGGATCAACTACGGTTGTGTAAAATTGTGCTCTATAAATAAAGTTTGCCTTGCCTTTCCTACCTTTAATGTTTGCTCAGGTAAAGGTTCACACTACAGCGAGTAGAGCAGAGAGTGATGTAGGAAGGATCTTAATTTGTGTTATTGTTTTTTTTTTTATATTTAGCCACCAGCTCGTATCAGTGGTACTCGTGGGGTCCTCCCAACATGCAGTGCCGACTCTGTGCCTCCTGCTGGACCTACTGGAAAAAGTACGGAGGTCTGAAGATGCCAACCAGACTAGATGGAGAGCGGCCCGGACCCAACCGCAACAACATGGTGGGTGAAAAGTGGATGTTCTCCAAAAAAAATAAAAAACAAGCTGCAGTTCTTGACATGAAATCCTCTTCTTCTCTCTCTGCCCCCAAGTCTGTTTTATTCAGTCTGTTTTCTCTTTTGCTGTGCAATTCTGTTTTATTACACCTCTTTGTGACTGTTAAATGAACGCCCTGAAAGAGCGAATGAGCCAAACTGTCTTTCATCTATGTTTAAAGTGGAGTTCGTTCCTTTAAGATATGCAGTATTTAGATTCTTCTGTCAGCAAGAGCTTGACTTTCATATCTCTGTCTGTGTTCAGAGTCCTCACGGTTTGCCCGTGAGACACAGCGGAAGCCCCAAGTTTGCCGTTAAGACCAGGCAGGCTTTCTACCTGCACACGTCTCAGATGACGAAAGCCGCTCGACGCGTCTGCCAGGACCTGCTGAGATCCAAATACTTGGCCAGACACCCGTACACACCTGTCAACACCATCGCTATCAAAGCTGAGTGTGAGTAGGCACATATTTGAAGATTCAGTTCATTAGATGCAGTTGCTTATTGTGGAAATTATGTGTGAAGTATGAGCTGATGTAAACTGTGTAAAACTAATTATAAAGTACTACTAAAATCTAATTGTTAAGATATATAATATATATATATTAAGGGTGTCACGATCTTCCAAATCCTCGATTCGATTACATTTTTGATTCTAAAGGCACGATTCGATTTTCGATTATGAATCATTAATTAATTAATGACCAATTAATTATTTGTAGCCTACCGTTTAAACTACCTGACCTGCATGGTCTTTGTTTTACCCATAAACAAATCATACAGTAAATGAATAAAGGCAAGATACACACATAATTACCACCTGTCAATCACTTTTTCTGCGGGACTCGTGAAAAGGCAGTGATCTGTGTCGTTATAGTGGCGTCGGTAAAAAAGACGCACAACTAACAGGAACCAGCCAACAGTATCTGAGGTGTGCGCTAAAATGACAAGTGAGTAAAAGATTGAAGCAGTCTACTAATCCTCTGACTGCCTGAACCCGCTGTCTCGGAGCCCATGGCTGTGTGTGTGCGTCTGTGTCTGTGTGTGTGTGTCAGAGGTAGAGAGGAAGGAGGGCTGCTCAGAAATGCTACACGCCATTGTGGATCTCAAATCGTTGTCGTTCTAAAATGCCATTTAAAAACAAAGACAGTGTAAACAGGGCCTGAGTGTGTACTTTTCGTGAGCGAATTTGCAATGGGGGCGGGCGGAGGATCGCGATGCCGGTGTTGTCTATATATATATATATATATAGATTTTAGGAGGTCATAATTGTATTACATTTAGCAATTTGAACTTTATAATTAAAAAAAATATATTTTTATTATTGTTTTGATACATTTTCTGTGAAAATCCCTGTGTTTTTCTATAATTGCTAGCAACATTTAAGGAATTTAAAAGTTTGCTTGAATTAGATTTAATATAAAAATTAGATTTTTATATTCTTTATATTAATTGTCCTGTTTTATTAATATAATTTCATAAAGCTCATGAATGTTTTTTAAATATTAGAATTATTGGAAAAATTAAAAATATATTATTTACTCTTTTGTTTACATTCATTTAATGTAATGTAATGTATTTAAAAACTAAGTTTTATTTGTTGTAATGAGTTTAAGAAGTATTACATTTCATTAAAAATATGAAAAATAAAAGCATATTTGACAGCCTTCATTTCGTTGGGGGAAATCATCTGCTTGTTATTTTTTAATGCCTCTTATAATAAATATTTTAATCAGTAAATGTTATACAATTTGGACTTAAAATATCAAAAGGTGATAAGGTGATTTATTATTTTTTTTTAATCACTGGAAATAAATACTATTTGACAACCTCAATTTTGCAATAGAAATAGAATTATCTGATATTTTGTCCTCAGTAATTGTTAATTTTACAAATTATTTAAAAAGATAATTGATTATTAAATATTTTATTCTAAATTTGATTAATGTTTTTTATTGTTATTAGCATATTACACACTAATATTTATGGCCTTTCTGTATTAAATTTTTTTTTTGTCATAGGGCTACATGTTATTGGAAAAATCTGCCATTGCAATATTTAGTTTTTCGGCAGTATACAGTGTGTGTATGTGTGTGTGTGTACACACACACACACACACACACACATATATGTATTTATATTCATTCATTCATTCATTTTCTTGTCGGCTTAGTCCCTTTATTTATCTGGGGTCGCCACAGCGGAATGAATATATATATATTGCTATATGAATACAGTTTCACCAGATGGCTTAAATAGCTCAGGTTATAAATTAACTGCGATGTGACAATTGAGAGAACACACATTGTGATATCGATGCCCTAATTTGTCATAATAGGTGCGTTCAGGTCTTTCTGTGTAAACAAATGAAGCATTTTTAACACTTTACTGAATGAACAAAAATGCTTCTTTGACACTGTACTGATTTACCATATTAATTTGAGCCTAGTCCGAATACATGGTGTTTATTTTTCTCATTTACATATTCCAGGTGCTGTGCGGTTGCCAGATATGTCCAAAAAACCTGCATCTCTAAAGCAGACAGTAAGGAAGCCTTTAGAGTCTGTGGTTAGATATCTCGGTAAGCGAAGCTCTCTTTAAACACTCAATTAGATCTTCATCAACGATCCCTTTTTAATAATATCTTCTCAAAACCTTTTCCAGAGGCGCACCCTCTCCCGCCCAAAGCAGACCCTCCACGAGGAGTCACCATTTCCACAGGCAGCCTGACGCCCATTAAATCCACACCCATCCTCAACAACGGCTCGCCGACCATCCTGGGCAAGCGCAACTACGAGCAGCACAACGGCTTGGATGGTGAGCGATCGGGTTGTGTGTGTGTGTGTGTGTGTGTGTTTGCTGCCCACATTCTTCCTATTCTACTTGCAATGCTTCATTCACTCATCTTAAAATCTCCCATTAGAATCTCCACCAACCCCCATGCGATAAGATGCACACACACACACACACGCACACACACATTAGGTTTCAGTGAATTATGGGGACTTTATGCAGACTCTAAACCTACCCGTTACAGATCACCCATTTGCATTTCTCTCTTTCAGATTAGCATCATTTTGAATGTTTTTTTTTTCTTCATAATGTCAAAAATCTCATGTTTTTCCATCTTTGTGGTGACATTCGTAACCTGCAGTGTAGCATAAACAAGTGCACACTGATACGCGTGCACATACTCTGGCACACACACACTACTTTAATCTCTGAATGGCTTTCAGGGTTGTCATGGTAACGGATCAGCAGTGACTCACATGGATCATTAGTCCTGCGGGAGATCAGACCCCAAAAACACAGGCTACGTTTACACTGGTGTGTTATCTTTTGAGTTTTAAAACACTCCTCCATACTGGCATTCCAACTACTGTGCATTTCAGTGAAAATAATCTCAATTTATATTGCACAACTTTTATTTAGATCAGAATAAGATCAGAAAATATATGTAGGCTAACTGTATATGTATCGTTTGAATAAAAAACGATTTTTAGTTTTTGTTATAAACAGTAGGCAACAAGTATTACACAGAAAATCATGTAAATTTGACCTGTATTCAGAAGAAAACAAGATTAATATCTGAAAAGTAGGTTTAGGTTAAAATGTTGTAGTGTTTGTTGTAAAGAATGTAGATCTAAAATATTAGCTGCCATAGAATGCATTTAAACTATAGCCCCTTTCACACATACAGACCTTGGAAAGGTTGTATGTGTGAACAGGTCCTTTTTGAAAATACCGGTAAATTCGTTCTGGCTATTTTCCGGAAAGAGAAGTTGTAACATTACCGGCAATTTGCTGGAATGCTGCGCTGTGTGAATGCAGAAGGAAGATTGCCGTAATAAGCGCGTGCACGTCTAGAACGTGCTGACGTGAGACGTCTGCTTTAGCCAATCACAACAGTTAGACGCATTTACGTCTGCGCGGTTTGTGAGAATAAAAGCCTTTGAATATTTTTCCAGACACATTTAGCTGCTAGAAGGTAGTCAGATAACGTTTTTATGTTCTTCTTAATGCCAACTGTGTAAATAATCATCGATGAGATGCTTATGATAAGCCGTTGTTTGTTTACCTTCAAGCTTTGCGTGTGCCTGTGAAACAGCCTGTGAGCGCCTGCACACGCACATATTATGAACATCTCGACATGCGAAAGTTGTTCACAATATTGATCATCCACAGAGTTTGTAATTTAGTCAAATGTTTACAAATACAAGCGCGGCCGTTTAAAGCTCATTTGTGGTGAATGATGTCAGAATTTACCGGTATTTTGGAATGGATGTGTGAATGCTCTTTTCCGGAAAATTTTCGTAACGTCCTCGCCTGTGTGAACAGCGCTTTTTTGAATATACCGGTAAAGTCGTTCCGGAAATTTTCCAGATATTTACCGGTATCACTGTGTGAAAGGGGCTACTTTGTTAAATTAGAATATGCTAAATAGAAGGTGTGTGGCTTTGGTGCTAGAATTTTCCAGAAATTATTTTATAAGCCCATTTCTGTAGGAATTGGCCCTAATATGAAATGGTTGGATTTGATTGTATACATGGATTCAAGGGTTGTAAACAGGGCTTGACTTTAACACCCGCAACCCGCCAAATGCAGGTAAATTTCAGCTGTGGCGGGATAGACAGTTACTCCCACTTGCCACTTTGGCTGGTTTAAGATTTTTAAATTGTATTTTCAAAAATAAAAGCTTAGTTCAGCAATAAGGATTGCCCAACGAGAGGCCAGCGTAAGAGATAACAATAACAACTGTGTTTGTCTGAGCAAAAGAAAGCAGGTAAATACCAACTGAGAGGATGATCACGTGCGTGTGGGGACACAGGCGATTCTGACACACTGACGAAGGCTTCAGTGTCGAGGCTGATTTTAGCTGATGTGATGCGCATAAGTATTTAATAGTTTCAAAAAGAAATGGTTTGTTGCGCGAAGCATCTGTGCCTGGAAACGTAATTGGTGTGATCAGTTCTTTATGAAATAGACTGGACAAAAAGCAACATTCGTGCACTCACAGTCCTGCTGCTTTCAATGAGCTCCAGAAGTTTTAAAGGTCTTTTTGTAAACAGCAGGTTGCTTTCGCTTTAAATTTTCATCTGATCATCCTTTAATTATTGCACACGATATGTTTTTCACCTGCTTGCTTTTGGGCTACGAATTGTTTATTTTTTTACTTTTGGTGTGGCCAGAGAAAACTTTGGTAAATCCTTATTTGTTGCAGTGCAACATAGGGGTGTAATGATTTATCGTGGTACGATTTATTGCGATGCAAAAATGTCACAATATGCATTGTGGCGTTATGACGATTTGATTATGATATGACGTCCGTTTTCTCTTATTAGTTGAGCTGTTTGCACGTGAGCTACGTTTCACCTGCTGTCGCACGTGAGTTCAGATTGCAGCAGCAGTAATGTTAGCAGACCAAGATGAGTGGAGTTGAAATAGAGGATGACCCATCCTCTCAAAATCAGACGTCTGGCAACATTTCGGTTGTATAGTCATTGCTTTAGACTTGTCCACTTTTTGACATGCATACTGGGTCAAACATAGCCTAAGTTTTAAAGTCTTCACAGTGATTCACATACTTTGCACAGCGACATGGATACCTCCTAATGGTGTTGAAAGAGTCACATACTGTATTTATAAGGTACAATTCACCATAAAATATCATTCTGCTTCAGTGAACAGAACAAACAGAATAAAGTAGTAAACAACATTCAGTTTGTGGAACAGAGTGATCGTTTAAGAGCCGCATGGGAAGTATGAACAGCCCTTAGCAGTGGAAATGAGACTGAAAACGTGCACATTATTTAAATAATCATGTTGCATTTTAGAGTTATGATTACGACGAGCATGAACTCTTTTGAGTACAGAGGTACACAAAATGCACTTTAACATGATACACTTGATAGCGCCGACATCACAACGCCGAAGAAATAGTAAGCCTGCCTAAAACTGCTGAAAAGAGCCACGACTGTCCTGTGTAATGAAAAGACGGCCACCCTGTCGCTCATCATGCCCAACATGAAGACAGCCATCCATAAAAACCTCCATAAAATCCAAAAAAACTGCTGATTACCTGGAAATGTGGATTGCACACACAAAAAACGCAAGTGACCAAGCAAAGCCTTAAGCTCTTAATGTTAAATTCAATTGAATAGAAAGCTATTTTTTTGCACCTTTACTTAAATTGTTCCTTAATTTTGTCTCTGTCATTTCAATAATAATATAAAAGAAGTTTTTTAATTGTTTTATTTTCCAGAGACAGGCCTGTTTAATTTATTTTCTTAAAGAAGGTTCAGAAACAAAAGAAATACATAAAAAATAGTTTACTTGGTAATTAAATTTTTTTAATAAAATTTGCATTTCAGTTAAATTTTATCGAACCGTAAACATTATATTGTGATACACGTGAGCTGAGTGTATCGTGAGCTGAGTGTATCGTTACACCCCTTGTGCAACACTATGAAACCACAACCCATCTGCTCATGCTCATTAAGCAAGCTCATACACAACACAAAAAGTGAAATGAATGAGTAGGCATGTGAAAATAACACAAAATATAAATCAAGTAATATTAGCATGCCAAAGTCAAATTTTTATGCATATAAAATAAATTTTCCCAACAAAAAAATTGTGGCTAGTGAAAATGGCGAGTGGCTAATAATGTAGCAAATCTACTAGCCACAGTGGCTGGTGATCAAAAAAGTTAATGTTAATCCCTGGTGTTAAATACAATTGAACTCCAGCAGCACAAGTCAGTATCTGACACACACACACACACACACACACACACACACACACACACACACACACACACACACACACACACACACACACACACACACACACACACACACACACACACACACACACACACACACAGTACTGTACTCTAAAATACATACATGCAAAATAATCATACTTAAGTTGTCAAAATGTAACAAATTGAGTAGAATCCTTGTTAAATGACAATTCTTTGTTTGTTGAAGTAGTTGAGATGTTTATTTTACCAAGATTTAGTGAGTGGGGTTTAGTGAGTGGGTGTTGAGTTGTGGATGAAATTTTCTTGATATAGGTGTATTTAGAGTTGTGTTTTGTGGTTCTGGCATATGAAAACACTGGCAAAAATTAATATCAACCTCCTTATAAACATGAGTTTCTGACGATTACTTGCATCATTTCACTTCAGAAAAATCAACGAGAGCCAAGCGATATGACACAATCATAGACTGTAAAAGATATGGACGTAGTATCTTTGACGTCACTCATTGGTTTCTAAACACTGCAAAAGAAGCTACCAGAAGGCACGGCCAACTGTTGTCATTTTGTTTGCACGTCATCACACCGACCGCGGGATACCAAGGGCAAAGAGGCGGAACGTGAGCGGAGCTACAGATGCATGCTGGCATTTTGCTTAGACCTGGCTCATACAGACTTTTCTTTGGGGAGAAATGCTTAATACTTCATTACCTGTGACTCGTTTGTGTTCTTAACACTTGTACTTGGTTGTATACTATATCAATAATAGTGTTTAGGCTTTTAAAAACAAACACCAAGCATTGTTTTTATGATGTTTTTCTTCAGGAGGAAAGCACAGATTACTTCCAAACACTTAAAATATAGTCTGTTTTAGTAAATGCAAGGCTATTGATGAAATCCAGGCTTAACACTGTATGACAACAATTCAGATCTTAAGCTCTTAATGATCTTAAGTAAAACAAATACATTTATAGAGATGGTATAGAAGTATATAATTTCACTCACCTGTGAAATGGAGGCAACTTGAACGGTTTGTGAGCACAATTACGTCCACAAAGCATGACATACCATCTGATAATTCCAGGAAATAATCCCAAAAAACAATTGACTGTGTAAAGAAACATTAAACAAAACAAAAATGCAATGGATATGCTGAGTTCAGTTGCTAATCGTCCGGAATCAGCTGAGGTGACGAGACAGCGAGCAGCGAGATCTAGCTGTAACTTAAGGTGACACTCCCTTAATTATGCAGACTTTCTATAATTTTATAAAAATGAAACGAATAAGTTATAAAAAAAAATTCACCCCCTTCACAGATGTCATGAAGAGTAGTCATAGCTTTATGCACCAAAGCCATCTTTTGTACTAGGAGAGGGGTGGCCAACCCTGTTCCCGGAGAGCCACCTTCCTGCAGATTTCAGTTGCTACCCATATCAAACACACCTCAACCAATTAATTAGGACCTGAACACCATGTGATAATTACAGGCAGGTGTGTTTGATATGGGTTACAACTGAAATCTGCAGGAAGGTGGCTTTTTAGGAACAGGGTTGGCCACCCCTGTACTAGGATGTAAACATGTTTTATCAGCTGTAAAAATAGTAAATTTATCATTGCTGTCAGAAATCACCTGGATTTTTTGGAGCCAGCCCCTCAAGGGGAGCCGATGAATTGCAGTTTTAGTGCAACACACACTTGTATTCAGCAGTTATCAACATATACATGTGTCTGTTGCCTCATTACAAACAAATTTCACGATGTAAATGTTAAACTAGCAAATATACACATTTAAACAGACCGCATACCTCTTTGGGGTGACTTTTAAATGAATTTATAGCTTGTATATTTTGCATTTTGTATTCTGATGCACCATGAACAGATTACAGTTCTTGGTCTTGCATGACTACTTTCTTCACAGAACTCCTTACTCTTTCTTAAAGCTTGTCCCATTTTAGGAGAATATCAGAGTCTGACATGCAGAGTAAATTTACAGTGGTCCCTCGTTAATTGCAGGAGTTACGTTGTAAAAATAGCCCCCAATATGTGAAATACGCAAACATTTTACAATTATTATAGATGTTTTAAGGCTGTAAAACCCCTCATTACACTATTTTCTCAGATAGGCATTAACATTTTCACACTGTTCTCTCTAGTTTAAACACTTGCATAACTTCTACCTTTCTTTAGCTTGTACACTATTTGCTGTAACTTCTTGTGCAATGGTTAGCATCTTCCTTTGCACTTTGGGTGCTACCATAGGTGCCTTTGACGGTGCAGAACATTTTGTCGTCATTATAGGGTTTGTAGTTGTAAAACTTGCAAACATACAGTATAGAACTTCAGAGTTGCACTGCTAGCAGTTGAAGATTTATGTCAATTTGGCAAACTGTCAAATTTCACAAAAAATAAAATAAAAAATCAGCAAGACCACAAAAAGTGAACCATGTTATGGCGAGGGACCACTGGAATACAAGATTAGATGAACTTAAAAAATACAGGGGGTAAGTATTGTTGTAATCTCACTAGGTAATGTTGTGGCCAACCATATGGTGCTGGGGATGTGCATGATAATGATCTTGTGTGTCAGAGTCTGTGTCCGGGATTTTATGCTCACCTGATTTACATGACAGTGAGGAAATAATGCTGTTCAAGGCTTATGAAATGCTATTTATATTCAGCTATTCTTGGGTATATCCAGATTTTCGTTTTATGGTACCTTTAAGCAAATAAGTGTCTAGTCAAATTGAATTAAAGCTAAACAAATGTCTCATCCAGAATAAATACAACATATTTTTTATTGTTTAGTTTAGCAACTGGTTCTTTCATAGTCAATATGGTTTTGGAAACGAGACCTTGTGGTTCATTTGTTTTCAGGTATCCTCATAAAACTCTTAAAACCATCAAAACTTGTCAGGTAGGTGAGCACAGACTGTACAACCGAGCATTGCACAATGTAACATTTGTTTGACTACTGGCTTTAATTTCAAGTTAGCAGTTCTGGGATGTGTTTTCGACATGCGAGATGCTCTGGTGATTTTGTCATAACACAGGAACAACTTAAAATACTGTAACGTTATTTGATCTTGCAGATGATAAGACATTAGAGCTGCACGATTTTGATTAAAATGAGAATTGCGATTTTTTTTTTTTTATTTATTTTTTTTTATTATTATTATTTTTATTATTATTATTATTATTTTTAATTGATTTATTTATTTTTTTGCTTAAAATAAAGATTACGATTTTCTCACGATCCTGTAGAAGTAAAATAAAGGTTTATATGAGTGGGCTATTATTATTGTTATTTCTCAAACATGGTAAAAAAAACTATATTAATATGTAGGTCTACTGTTTGATCTCATGCACAACACTTTATGTTCGCTAAAAAAGAAAAAAGCTTATCAAATGCTTGTCGTCGCCTAATCATAACTCTATAATGCCATATGATTATTTAAATATTGTGCATGCTTTCAGTTTCATTTTCACTGCTAAGAGCGTTCTACTTCCCGCGCAGCTCTCAAACAATCACTCTGTTTCACAAACTGAACGTTATTTACAAGTTTATTACCTGTTGTTCGCAGCTTATGCAGGTTCTGTTCACTAAAGGAGACTTCATTCACAGGCGCGCGCCCTCCCTCTCTGTGGTAACAGCTCACAGTTAGCAGCTCACGTCACGTCTGATATCGCAGCCTCGAATACATCATTACATGAAGACAGAAATGGCATTTTTGGTTGAATTATACCTTATAGTTACAGTATGTGACTCTTTCAACACCATTTTCAACACTATTGGTGTCCACGTTGCTGAACAAGGTATGTGAAACAATGTGAAGGCCTGTGCAGCCGTCTTTTCTTCTCTCCTGATTCCAGAACTTGAAAATATAATTGGCTGAATCGTAGAAATGCTGGATTAAGGTCGTCTAGGGGGTCGAATCGAGATCGCGATCTTTTTTCGATTAATTATGCAGCTCTATAAGACATCATTTGAAACTGTAGTTTATTTGTATAAGATCTCAATAAAAGCAAAACAATTCTCAGTTTTAATAAGCTGCGTATAACAAAAATTAAACCAACCTCAAGGTAATAATGCTTTACACATGGTATGGTCTTGTCGGATCAAGGAAGGATATGCAATTATCCAGAAGATTCAATCAGGAGGTGAATTGTTTTCGAAAGTCTGTGCTTTAGTACATCTCCACTGAAACACAACCACAGAGTTTTCAAACTACAACAATCTTTGCAGTAACCGCTGCAAAAGTTGAGCATTTTGTACAGAGTAAACACACCAGAACCATCGATTCAAAAGAAGGGCTCCTCAAACACGTGGAGTTGACGTTAGGAGCAATTCTGTATGCTCCCTTGTCACATTGTGCTTCATTACCCTCTCATCTCAATGATGGCTTTGGAGAGAAACCAATGTTCAATGGTTATATAAATTCCTGATGAGCTTGGCACCATTCTGTCCAAAGCAGCAAATCCTGTTTCTTCACCCCATGCTGTTTTTTTTTTTTTTTTTTTCAGATTGCTTTTACATTTGGGGTCTTTATGCGCTTGTCATTACAGTTATCGTTCTGATGTGTTCGTGATAAATGGCACATGCACCTTTCCACGTTGCTGTCCTCAGTCCTGGTCTATTGGGATGTCAGCTGTGTATGCATTATGTGAAGATGGAGTTAAGGGATTAGTTCACTCAAAACTGAAAAATCTATCATTAATTACTCAGCCTCATGTCATTCTCATTCCCCGAGACCTCTCTCATCCTCTACAGGCAGCAATGTCTTAAGATGTCCAGAAAAACTAGCCAAAAAACGTTGTCAAAACATTCCATGTGACTTCAGTGCTTCAACTGTAGTCATATGAAGCTCCAAGAATACTTTTGTTCATCAAAATACCTGTTAAAACAACTTTTTTCACCAATGTTTTCTGCATCATGTCAGGGTGTGTGTGTTTACTATGCTGCTTTGCTTGTTACGCTTCTGACTCTATTGGAAATATGTCATAGACTTGACACCCAAAAAAAGACATTGGCTAAGTTTAAATGTCTCAGGAACACGGCTAACTAAGGAGGATGAGAGAGCTCTCTGATTCCATCTAAAATATCTTACTTTGTGTTCTGAAAGAATAAAGACCTCAATGGATTCGAATGACATGAGGGGGAGTCATTAATGACAGAATATTCCTCTTTGGATAAACTAATTCTTTAGGGAGTGCATGCAATACCTGTTATGACCACTAGACATGATGACTCTTGAAGTGAACTTGTGAATCTCTTATGAAACAATAAATGTAGGTGATAAGTCTTAAAGATGGTAGATTGATTTCATGAATTAGTAAAATGCCTTGATGTGTACTACCTCAATCTGCATGGGCAGCTGTATTTTAAGACAGTATCGTAATCTCATATGCTTTGTATTCTAACTTTTACAACATACTGTATGAAGATTTGAAACAATTTAACTATGAACTGCTTGATAGATCCCAGGTTGCCTTTGGTAAAAAATGATCTGCTAATAGAATAATTGCAAATGTACTATAGTGTAGTTTTAATTGTAGTGGTTAATGAAAATTAAATTGTTTATTTTAGCTATTAGCTGTAAATCTAATTTTTCGTTCTGTGTTTTATATGTGTTTTAGGGTCCAAACCCAAAGTCCTGGCTCCTCAGTGGGAGATAATGGCCAAGAGGATGTCTGAAGCTGGCCGGACTCCCTCTGTCCTGCAGGATGAGGTTCACGAACTAGACTGACCTCTGCTTTGACATTTGACTGCTATACTCCAACCAGATGAGCAGGTACTGATTACTTTCATTGTAATGACTTGTGAAACATCTGCTACAAAAGAAATGTTTACAGCTTTCTATTAATGTTTTCAGATTAAACAGCACTAATAATCATATTAATTGTTTATTGAAGAGGATATTAATATAACAGGATGCCCTATTTCAAGTCATTTATTCTTTTTAATGTTATATACAGTTAAAGGCAAAATGATTTGCCCTCCTGCAAAATTTCTATTCTTTTTCAAATATTTCTCAAGTCATGTTTAAGAGAGCAAGGACATTTTCACAGTACGTCCTACGGTATTATTTTCATCTGGATAAAGTCTTATTGCTTTTAGTTTGGCCGGATTGGCTACAGAACAAACCACTGTTGTCCAATAACTTGCTTAACTAATTTAATTTGCTAGTATATACAGTGAGGGCAAAAGGTACTCAACACGTCATGTTTTTTTTTTTTCTTTCTGGGAGTAATATTCTAAAGGAGCTGTAAACATGAAATTGAACCAGATTTTGGTAAAAACCCAAACATAACAATAAAACAAATTAAAACAAATCTGAAAAAATGAGTTATGCGTAATAGCAATGTCATGACACAAGGAGAAAGGACTAAACTACTGAAACGTATTTAATATTTTGTATAAAGGCTTTTTGGTGATGGCAGCTTAAAGACCACTCTAATATGGAGAATGAAGTCACATGATTTGCTCAGGTGTGAGGTTCCACAGACTTCAAACAAAGTGTAAAAATCTTGATGGTTTTGTAGGTCTTGTCTATAAAATCTGATTTTTACTTTGTATTTTCTATTGGATTTAAGTCGGGTGATTGGCTGGGCCATTCTACAGCTTGATTTTCTTTCTCTGAAAGCATTTGAGAGTTCCCTTGGCTGTGTTTTAGATCACTGTCTTACTGAAATGTCCACCCTGGTTTCATCTTCATAATCCTGATAATATAGATGTTGGACTGAACTGAAGCAGTGAATATTAATTCACAATGATAAAGGGCAGAGGGTTGCTGAATAACTACTGAGGGATTTCAGCTGCTGTCTGGGCTTTCACTGTCTTTCTACATCTCCCCTTCTTCCTTTGTTCAATCCTTTTTCCCTGTGTTATTTCATTTTATTACACTTAGCTTCATTTGTAAACAAATTAATATTGTTTTGTTTGCATATATGGATTTCTTTGGTTGTTACCAACATCTGGTGAAAATTTCAAGTTAAGTTGAAATCTGAATGCTAGCAATCTTGCAAAATAACTAGAAAACTATTATGTCCTGTCATTCATGGCAAAGACAAAAGCAATGAGTTATTAGAAACTGTTACAATTGTTGTTTAAAAATGTCCTTCCATTAAACAGCACTTGGGAACTATTAGAAAAAGAATTACAAGTTCCCAGAAGGGTTAATCATTATGAATTGAACTGTAAGGCCCTTGTGTCTTCAGTACGTGTAAACAACAAAACATGTCAGCTGTCAAATGCACTCACGGTTGGATCAAAAACACACACATCACATTTTCTAATAATGTTATTTATGTGTGAATGTAAATCACATATGTCAGTGTATTAAATTGGTGAAACGGCATCTATTATACATAAAGACAACGCTAATAACACAACTTCATTTTACCGTCCTTGGGAATTGTAATTATTTTACCTAAATTTGGCTCATTTTAACGCTCCTTATGCCAAATTATGCATAATTAAAGAACTCGATAATGTAAAAATCACACTGTAACCTCTTAAAATGCATCGTTTGCTCAAAACAAACATGTTCAAAACTAGTTTAAGTTTCTTTCTTCTGTTGAACACAAAACAAGATATACTCATGGAATGTTTGGAGAAAACCTTTTTGTGTTTAACAGAAGAAAGAAACTTAAACTAGTTTTGAAAATGTTGAGGTTGTTTTGGGTGAACGATCCGTTTTAAGAGGTTATAGTGTGATTATTTTTTTTTTACATTAAATTCATCAAAGTTTAAAACCACTTGAGTATGAAATTTAATTTTTTGGTGTACCATGCCTTTAAAATCTTGGGTTAGACTACAAACTCTTTGCCAGCTGAAAACTGACAGTCTCTCTGTGATTCGTTTTCCAAGTAACTCGAGATTTTTATTATTTTTTTATTTCTTTCAGCTCTCAGTGACGGATGGACCTAAGAAAACATCTGCGGTCAGAATGCCCTGTCTGAGAGGCCCATTTTCTTTTTTTTTTTTGTTTTTTTTTTTTTTACAGCTGAAGCCATTGTAAAGACTGCAACGCCCTGACGTCTCCATGGGTTTTCAACAGCCTGTGGACATTCACAGGACTGACCTGATTGTACAGGACTGATTATTACTACTACTATTATTATTATTATTATAATTATTATTATTGTTTACCATCGGCTGTTACTTCTGTCATTGTAATTATTATTATAATTATTACAATTATTATTACTGCTCTCTTTTTTTATCAAGTATAACCATTTTCTTTATAATGACTTGAGAAAATGTATGAATCTTGAACGTTTCTTGAAATGGCTTGCGCCCATAGTGTATAGGTGGGACAAGCTGCTGTTATTATTATTATTATTATGATTTTTTTTGTCTCTTGCGTTGTTTTGTAACATGTCAGCTCTGTGCCGACGTGAAGGACTTTATGACTTCAGTGTCTCGCCGTTTGGATGCTTGTATTCGCCGGTTCTGTTGGCCCCGTCCTGCCTCAGCGGTTTAAATTATTCAGAAAGACAACAGAACGTTCTTTTTCTACCTTTTTCACAAGTATTGCGACTGCTTCTATATGTAATTTCTCTTTTGTGAATATGTAAATGAAAACAGGAGGGGAGGCGTTATTGTACAGTGGTGCATTTTGGGCCTTCGGCGGATATCAAAGCTTGTTGTAATGGATTTGCCATGCACAGCGCATTCTTTGAAATGTCTTTTTTTGTAAGGAAACCTCCCAACGCTCTCTCTTGCATATACGGAGGGGCGGCGGGAACTCTGAAAAGGTACTACTCCATTAATACAATGATGCACCTTCTCAAGAATGAGCCTGGATTTTGGAGTGTGGTGTTCATGTTATTCCTTTAACTTTATATTTGCACACAGATCGCTCCAGGACACGGATATGCGATACAGCCTAGTTTACTCTGCAGTTGGCTTATCAAATATTAATATCCTATAGCCAATGCAGAACTTCTCGTACTCATGACACACTTTTCTTCTTTTTAAGGGACAAGCGTTCATACACAGTAGACTGAATTTTTATTTTGGAAAATCTCAAAATTTTAAAGTTTAATATTTCATTAATTTTTTTTTAGACCTGTTTATGCCTATCATCCTTTTTAAAGCTGAATTGGTAGTAAAAAAGTCATTTTTTCCTTATAAAATGGATGTAAATTTGGAAATGATAACAGATCTATAACAACAGATATCAGTTTACCATGTATAAAAGGAAATGAGAAGGAAAGAGAAGTTGTGACGTGGCTAAGTAGGTTGACCCATACACTGAATTTATGCTTAGCATTTAACCCAGCCGAGTGCACTTACATCTGGAACAGTATGTTTAAAGGGAAAGTTCATCCAAACAAGAAAATGTTGTGTTTATTTACTCACTCTTTATGGTCGCAAACCTGTTTTGAGTTTCTTTTTTAGTTTTGGAAACTGGTAGCCATTTAATCACATGGAAATCTGATATATGGCAATGTATGCAAATTACATATTTAACATGATAGCTCAAATTTGGATTTACGTATATAAAATGTATGTAAAAATGCAACATTTTTAAATATTGCACTAATGGACCCTTTCATTTATATTTTTCAACCATTAGAATTACAATTATGTACATATATGTTCAAATCAGCCTGATCTCACGAGAAAACGTAAGTATTTTATGTTTAGTGTCTTAATTCGTACGAGTTCAGTTGTATGATAATGTATGATTTAAAAAAATGAGGCGTGGCTCCCAACCCCACCCCTAAACCCAACCATCATTGGGTGATGAGCAAATCATAAATTATGCGAATTAACCACTAAATCAAAAAGTTACGAATTTCCCAGATCATTTGCGTTGGTTCAAATATATTAGCTCAAATAATATATTTAATTAAATACATGGTGTCTGCTGAGTCTTAAAGTCTTACACCTCAAAATCTAAATGTTAGGCCTTTAAAAGTCTTAAATTAACTGAAATATTGTATTGTAAGACTTAGATATTTTTTAACGGGTCTTTATTTTTGTTTTGTTTATATATAGCTACTCATTCTAGCTATTAACACCTATACGATAACCAACAATCCCCATCTCAATAAAACTTTTCACATTTTGGCCCTTAAAAAGTCTTAAATCTACTTTTTATTTAAAAACTTTTTATTTTGAAAGGTAATTTTTAACTCTTTTTGCTGTAACCGTTTAATTATTTTTCTTAGAGTAATTTTGTTTAAAAGTGCCTCGTGTGTTTACTGCTGAGGACACTTACCTGGACAGATTTTTGTGCATAGATTTAGATTATTATAGTTTTTAAAACTTAGAAAACATTTGTTCATTTTTTTTATTTTTTAAAGAAAGTGTATTTTGGAAAAAAAAAGCGTATGGATGCATGATTTATATATATATATATATATATATATATATATATATATATATATATATATATATATATATATATATATATATATATATATATATACACACACACACATACAAAATACATTTTCTTTGTTAGGGCAAATCAAAATCTTTTCCATCTGGGCCTTTTGAAAAATTCCTTAGCGTTTAGCACTTTTAAGTCTAAAATTTAATTTAATTTATAATGGTCTTAAAAATGTCAAAGTCTTAAATGTAACTTGGTGAAATCTGCAGAAACCCTGTGTATATACATTTATATGTTTATATATGGCTATCTATGTCATTTATTTGTACATATATGTACATATTTGTAATTCAGATGGTTGGAAAAATAGATACAAGTTGAAATTTTTCAATTCATTCATTCATTTTTTTTCGGCTTAGTCCCTTTAGTAATCTGGGGTCGCAACAGCGGAAAGAATCACTAACTTATCCAGTATGTTTTATTACGCAGCGGATGCCCTTCCAGCTGCAACCCATCACTGGGAAACAACCACACACACACTCATTAACTACAGACAATTTAGCTTACCCAATTCCCCTGTACCGCTTGTCTTTGGACTGTGGGGGAAACTGAAGCATCCGGAGGAAACCCATGTGAAGACGGGAGAACATGCAAACTATACACAGAAACACCAACTGACCCAGCCGAGGCTCGAACCAGCGACCTTCTTACTGTGAGACCACAGCACTACCTACAGCGCCACTGCGTAGCCAAATTTTTCGTTATATGTTGCGTATATGACATCTTATACATGTAAAATTCAAATATTGACTAGTATGTCGTATTTAGTTTGCACAGTATGATATATCACTTTTCTATTGGGGTACTTCTGTGATATTTGTTTTTCCTACTATGGGTGTTAATGGTTAGCAGTTTACAACATTTCAACAAAATATCTTCTCTTATGTTCAAATGTTGACTACATTTTCATTTTTGGATGAATTATCCCATTTTAAGGAAAATTAACTAAAACAAACTGAAACTAATATTATTTTATTTGAAATTATTTTTCATTTCATGTTGGTGAACTTTTTGGGTCTGTAAATGAGTAAAAGCACTGACATGCTTTTTAATTTTTTTCTGAAGGCAGTAAATAGTCTTTAAAATACTCACAAAAATACTCAAATGGTTGAACAACAAGAGTAATGCGTCTTTAGAAAATGTAGAGACTTCCTATGAGCTCAGACTAAGCAAATATTTGCGAACGCATTAGATATGTCTATTGAAAGAGTGAAAATGTTAATGAAGACAAATACTCTCTGCTCATGTAATTGGTATGAAACGATGTAAAGTACAGTCTTTCTTGTCAGAGCTCATCTTTTATATATCAGCACCACTATTAATGGCATAGACATTCCTTTGCATATTTTCTAGCAAAAGAAAATCAATATAATGATAATTAGGGTAATATTCACATCCTTTACATTTAGTTGTAAATGCTCTGGCTGTGTTGCCTTATTTCAGTGATTTATTTATTTATTATTATTATTTTATCAATCACACATATCCCTTCTATTTTGCTTACATATTATTGTGTCACAATTTGTGCATACTACTTATCAGACTTTAGCCATTATTATATTTCTAAGAAATTAAAAAAGCACAAATGTCAGGGTATACGTCAATTTTCTCCAGCATACCAAAACCCATTAGAGCCCAAAGGGTTCATTTAAAGGGTTAGTTCACTTAAACATGAACATGCACTCATTTACTCATCCTGAAATGGTTTCAAACCTCTTTTTTTTTTTTGTTTTTTTTTTTGTGTTCTGTTTAACACAAATGAATAGATTTTGAAGAAAGCTGAAAACTAGTAACTATTGGCATCCATAGTAGAAAAAAAAAACCATGGAAATACTATGGAAGTCAATAGTTACAGGTTTCCAGCTTTCTTCAAAATATCTCATATATGTTCAACAAGAAAGCCAAACAGTTTTGGAATGAACGGCGAGTAAAGATGATAGAGTTTTCAGATTTGATTGGATTTCTTTAAAACCTAGAGAACTGCTTCGGAAATAAAAATGATAACTGTATATAGACAATAACAAAAACATTGGTCTTAGAGTTTTAAAATAATATACAACCTAAAATAAAAAATATATATATTTTATTTATGCACCACCTTGTTTCAAACCAGATTTTTTCTATGGGACTTAAATTGTATTTATTGTCCAAGTAAAGTCAATTTAATCAGCTGTCTTTATATATATATACAATGAAGCTCAAATTAAAAACAACAATGACATGTTCATTGTTTACACTTAATATGAGTCTGTCTCAAAAACACAAGCCACCTGCCAAGATGGCTTTTTTTTCCTTAGTTTTTTCTTCCATTTTTCACTGGTGAGAGACAAAATAAAAACAACCAGATAACAGTTGCAACTGGATAACTGAATACTTTGAGCATGATGTTGAAATGTGTGTTCGACGGGCACTTCACTACCCCATGAGGCCAGAGGAGAGAATTTGCTGTTATATTGACTGTGAAGCTGCTAGCCTAACTGATGCTGCTGCGACACATAATAATGACAAGAGTATTTGGCGTTCATTCAGGATGTATGTTTTTAAGCAGCTGTGAAGGAATATAAGCTCAAATGTTGTGCCACCTCAGGCACTGTGTCATTTTAGATACACCTCAAATGTGCCTTACTATTCTGAAAAGTGGGGACAGAACATTCGTATTGCCCCCTTGGTGGCTGGCTGCAGTAAAGATCATAACATTAAGCCTATTTATTTTATATGCATAATAATAATTATTTTTTATTTACAAAAATAGAAAAGTGCAGTGCTTAGTTTTTTCACATTAACATCAAAGGAACAAACAAAGTAATATAAAATGTAATAAATACATAGGATGGTTAATAATTCAATGAAACAGACACATTCTCTATGAATATACACACATGGGACCTGAGCAGAACTTTAATAATAATTAAATGAAACCATTTCAAATAAAAGAAAGTTTATTTTTTCTAATAAATCTGCTTTTAGTCTGTTAGTTAGTTAGTTAGTAATCAGTAAGAAAAACTTTATTGTCCTTGACAGGAAATTTGTCATGGGCATCACCATGTTGCTGCAGAAAAACAACCAATAAAAACACAAAATACAGGACAGGAGTTACAATAATTATAATACTAATTAAGGTAAACACTTAAGTAAACCCACTGAAACTGGTAATTTTTTTTTTTAATTTCAGTTCAACCTACATTTATGGGCTCTATATCTCCTACCAGAGAGAAGCAGTTCATAATGTGGAAACAAAAAAATGAGTTGGGTCATTCAGAATCGTTTCCACCTGATTGAGGACACAATTCCCATGAAAAACTTGAGGATTGAAAGATTCATCATGCCCAACAATTTTCCATCCTGTCTTTAGGAGATGCATCAACTTAGATTTACACTGTACAGATGTACGCGGTGATACCAT